TTCTGCCTCCCAGGTTCAAGCAGTTCTCCTGCTTCAGCCTCCCAGGTTGCTGGGATTATAGGCACCTGCCACAATGCCTGGCTAAGTTTTTGGATGTTTAGTAGAGATGGGTTTTTGCCATGTTGGCCAAGCTGGTTTCAAACTTCTTACCTCAGGTGATCCACCCGCCTAAGCCTCTCAAAGTGCTGGGATTACTAGGCCACACCCAGCCTAGTCCCCTAAATTTGGATGCTACAGAGGGCCAATGCAACATCCAAAAGAGTAAAAAACATAATTTTTTTTTTTTTTGAGACGGAGTTTCACTGTTGTTACCCAGACTGCAGTGCAATGGCACGATCTCTGCTCACCGCAACCTCCGTCTCCTGGGTTCAAGGAATTCTCCTGCCTCAGCCTCCTGAGTAGCTGGGACTACAAGCATGCATCACCATGCCCAGCTAATTTTTGTATTTTTAGTAGAGATGGGGTTTCACCTTGTTGACCAGCATGGTCTCGATCTCTTGACCTCGTGATCCACCCACCTCGGCCTCCCAAAGTGTTGAGATTATAGGTGTGAGCAACTGAACCCGGCCAAAAATATATAATTTTTTTTTTATGAGATGGAGACTTGTTCTGTCTCCCAGGCTGGAGTGCAGCAGCTTGATCTCAACTGACTGCAACCTCTGCCTCCTGGGTTCAAGCGATTCTCCTGCCTCAGCCTCCCGAGTAGCTGGAATTACAGGAGTGTGCCATCATGACCAGCAGCTAATTTTTGTATTTTTAGTAGAGACAGAGGTTTCTCCATGTTGGTCAGGCTGGTCTCGAACTCCTGACCTCATGATCTGCCAGCCTCGGCCTCTCAAAGTGTGGGATTACAAACATGAGCCACTGTGCACAGCCAAAAAAACATAATTATTTGATATGTTAAATTACATGAAAAATGACTGGGCGTGGTGGCTCGCGCTTGTAATCCAAGCACTTCGGAGGCCAAGGCGATCAGATTACCTGAGGTCAGGAGTTCGAGACCAGCCTGACCAACATGGTGAAACCCATAATAATAGTTATTATAAGTTATTGTAGGCCACAGATATAATCGATTTGTTTCACTTGTTTCTTCATAATTATTTAAAGTCATTTGTATAGTTAATGGTTTAATTCTGATGTAGTTTATTTTTATTTTATTTATTTATTTATTTATTTATTTATTTATAAGATGGGGTTTCACCATGATGGCCAGGCTGGTCTTGAACTCCTGACCTCAGGTGATCCACCCATTTCGGCCTCCCAAAGTGCTAGGATTATAGGCATGAGCCACCGCGCCTGGCCCTTATTTTATTTATTTATATTTTTTGAGATGGAGTCCCACTCTGTCACTCAGACTGGAGTGCAATGGCGTGACCTCGGCTCACTGCAACCTCTGTCTCCTGGGTTTAAGCAGTTCTCTGCCTTAGACTCCCGAGTAGCTGGGATTACAGGCAAGTGCCACCATGCCTGGCTAATTTTTGTATTAGTAGAGACAGGGTTTCACCGTCTTGGCCAGGCTGGTCTTGAACTCCTAACCTCATGATCCACCTGTCTCGGGCCTCCCAGAGTGCTGGAATTACAAGGGTGAGCCACCTCACCCAGCAATTCTCATGTAGTTTCTATAAACTTCAAAAGCATGCAAAATCCTAGAGTACTGTGTGTGTAAGGAGGTTCAAGAAAAAATATAAATAGCCCAGACAACTTGAGTACAGGTTTCTGATAATTTTTAAATTATATTGTTTGGACTGGATAAGGATTGTGAGAATTCTAATGATGAGACTGACTAATAAAACTGCTAATTCATGCTAAGCAAAAATTAGTTGAACATCTGCTAAGCAAAAATTAGTTGAACATCGAGAAAATACTCTGCCATTTTTTTTTTTTTTTTTTTTTGAGACAGAGTCATGCTCTGCCACTAGGCTGGAGTCTCAGTGGCGTAATCTTGGTTCACTGCAACCTCCACCTCTGGGGTTCAGGCGATTCTCCTGCCTCAGCGTCCTGAGTAGCACATGCCACCATGCCCAGCTAATTTTTGTATTTTTAGTAAAGACACGGTTTCACTATGTTGGCCAGGATAGTTTTGATCTCCCAACCTTGTGATCCATCTGCCTTGGCCTCCCAAAGTGCTGGGATTACAGGTGTGAGCCACTGCACCTGGCCTCTGCCACATTTTTATGTTAAATCAGCCAGTACTAAAATCTATTAGATATGCCATTTGAATAAACTTTGTGGTTCAAGTTAAATTACCTATGGTTATACACCTAAATTGAAGTGTTATACTCCTAAATTGAAGAAACAATCTTGATATTTAAGTGGATGTAACTTCAATATTAAACGTGAACTCATGCAGAACCTAGAAAGCCAACAGCCACTTGTTCCTTCCTGAGTTCGGAGGGGCCTTTCTAAATTGTGATGATGTACCCAAGCTTAAAGGTCCTGAAGTATTGCTGGGGGATATGCTGATTCTCATACCTGGGCCAAGAATATGTCACAATCTTTTTTGAGGGCAGAGACCAGACAGCAGTGTCACATCACTTGAATTCTCAGCCATGAATATGTTACAATCTTCTCCTGAAAGCAGAACACAGGAAGTGAAGTCACATCACCTGGGTGCCGAGCCCAGCAATGAGTAACAACACTTTCTGTGGTCAAGGCCCAGGCAGGAGAGACACATCATCTGGTACCTAGGCTTAGTGATAAGTCACAATTTTTCCTGTGGGTAGAGTGCAGGCAAAAATGGAGCATCGCATCTCTTAGATGACTGATGCAGGCCGGGCATGGTGGCTGACACCTGTAATCCAAGCACTTTGGAGGCCAAGGCTGGTGGATCACCTGGGGTCGGGAATTCAAGACCAGCCTGACCAACATGGTGGAACCCTGTCTTTATAAAAATAAATAAATTTTAAAAAGATGATTGATGCAGAGATATGGCACAAGTCCCTCTGTAGAAGGAACCCAGGGGAGGGTCTCACAGTTTATATATGTTGGGGCCAGTAATATGTCTTCTTGTGCAAAATATTCTGGGCCAAGGTAAAAGAAAAGAGTCACATAACCTGAATGCAGAACTTAGCAATATGTCACAATGCACCCTGTGCACAGTGCCAAGGCAAGAAAAAAAACCTCACAGCACCTTTATTCCTGATTTAAAGTCCATGTCTTGTAAGAGTCTGTGCGTGATTGGTGCTTATACTCACACCGTCCCCCACACCACAGAAGACAACAGATAACCACAGGCTGATCATTAGGACCAAGGCCAAATAACAAAATAAGTTGGCTTTAGTCTATTTTCTCCTTATCTAAATATTTCAGGTTAAGACTGTGGCCCCATCATTCTTTTTTTATTTTTTATTTTTTTTGAGACATAGGGTCTCCCTATGTTGCTCAGGCTGAAGTGCAGTGGCTATTCACTGGCACCATCCCACTATTGATCAGCACGGGAGTTTTGACCTGCTCCGTTTCTGACCTGGGCCGATTCATCCTTCCTTAGGCAACCTGGTGGTCCCCGCTCCCGGTAGGTCACCATATTGATGCCGAACTTAGAACCCGATCGGCATAGTGCACTACAGCCCAGAACTCCTGGGCTCAAGCGATCCTCCCACCTCAGCCTCCCGAGTAGCTGAGACTACAGGCATGTGCCACCGCGCCCAGCTGTGGCCTCAGCATCCTTTTTTCACTGTCTGATGTTTGGAATTAAGGTGAGCAACAGGTGGTCAGCAGTGGATAATAACCACAGGTAACCGCAGGTCCTCCTCTGGTTATTTTATTCTTTTTGTCCTCTGTTCATTCTGTGGTCACTGTTTCTTTCTCCGAACTGAAGAGATGTTGGTAGAGAGAGGCTGTCCCCTCCCCTCTGGCAAAAAAGGAATGCTCAGGCTCTTCACCCACCAGACATCAGAGCTGCACTTTAATGTGGCAGCTATTGGCGACATGTGGCTACTGGGAGCCTGGAATGTGGCTGGTCGGAATTGCAATGTCCTAGAAAGGTAAAATACAGAGTTATTTTCAAAGATTTAGTTCCGTATACATGTGTATGTGTGTGTATGTGTGTGTGTGTGTGTGTGTGTGTCTATGTGTGTGTTTCATTAATACTTGCATTTTGCATCCATATTACTTTGGATATATTAGGTTAATTAGATTGTAACAATCAATTCCACTGTATTTTTCTTTTTAAAGTTTGACTACTAGAAAATTTTTATTTATTTATTTATTTATTTTTTTGAGACGGAGTTTTCGTTCTTGTTACCCACGCTGGAATGCAATGGCGCGATCTCGGCTCACCGCAACCTCCGCTTCCAGGGTTCAGGCAATTCTCCTGCCTCAGCCTCCTGAGTAGCTGCGATTACAGGCATGCGCCACCATGCCCAGCTAATTTTTTTGTATTTTTAGTACAGACAGGGTTTCACCGTGTTGACCAGGATGGTCTCGATCTCTTGACCTCATGATCCACCCGCCTCGGCCTCCCAAAGTGCTGGGATTACAGGCGTGAGCCACCGCGCCTGGCCTGACTACTAGAAAATTTAAAATTCACGTATGGCTCACATTTGATTTCAGAGGATTGTCTCTTTTTTTTTTCTTTGCTTTTCACTCCCTTGCAAAAAGCCTCTTTTTTTTAAATTCTCAAGCTCCCTACTCAATGGACCAGAAGCCACCAAGGTCATAAAATCTGAAATTCTAAAATAATACTTACATTATTTTTATTTGTGAGTAGCCGAATATCATTTGTAAATGTACATGATCTTATACACAAGGTTAAATGCAAATACCCTCTGGGATGGGCTTGGCTCAGTTAAAAAAAAGAAGCCCTGGCTGCAAAGGCTGCAGCTTAGGCTGTCACTCTTCATTCAGCCCAGAGTCTGAGCACGTCTTCTGTCACTCAGGCCCTGAAGGGTCGGGACCTTAAACGTTATCCAATCAGAAACCCTGGGCTGGGAACCGTCCAATCAGGCATGCAGCTGGAACAGACAAGATGGCTTCCGGAATTTGGCGGCGCCTTTGTGTCTCCCTGCAGCTGGAGGTCTAGGTCTCACTTTCTCTGCTGTGTCCTCTCCTCCTAGAAGCCCAGCCTCTGTGGCGTTGCGACCTGAATAAATTGGGAGATCCGCAACTAAGACGGCGGGACCCTCTGGAAGCCTAGAGATGGTGAGAGTGCTGGATGCGACATCCCGAGAGAGGGAGGGGCTGGTTGAAATCGCGGGGGGGGCGGGGAAGGGGCTGTGGCGGGACTCAGGCCTCCCCGCAGTCAGCTCCACAGTCTGCGCCTGGAGTTCTCCGGAGTTCTGCTTGCCGAGCTCGGCCTCCGCCCCCTTCAGCCATAAGATGGCGGCTTCGCTGACTGCGGGCCCCAGGCGTCCTGTCTCTTCCCTGGGCAGTGACTGTGCCCTGGCCTGGAGCCATCTCTGGGCAGCTCGGCATCCACAGGGCGGTGTCTCTCCCAGATTGTGCAGGGACCACGGGAGGGTCAACGGGGGAGAATCCTGATTCAGGGTGCGGGTTCATGAATGCGAAGAGCTTTGGTCCGGGGGTTCCCAGTTCCTCTTTTCACCTATTACAAATTTATGAGAGTGTCGGGCGCAGTGGCTCACGCCAGTGATGTTGCACTTTGGGAAGCCGCGGCGGGCGGATCACCTGAGATTAGGACTTCGCGATCAGCCTGACCAACATGGTGAAACCCCGTCTCTATTAAAAATACAAAATTATCAGGGCGTGGAGGCACATGCGTGTAATCCCAGCTACTCGGCACGCTGAGGCAGGAGAATCGCTTGAACCCGGAAGGTGGAGATTGCGGTGAGGCAGGATCGCGCCATTGCACTCAAGCCTGGGCAACAAGAGCGAAACTCCGTTTAAAAAAAAAAAAAAATTATGGGCATCACCGCGAAAATTTAGAAGAAATTTAATCAAAGTGTGATGCAAAAACTGTGAACCACCCAGCTGTGGTTTGTAGTTTGTGGTTTATGGGAGCAGCTTGAAGGAAAGACTTTTAAAGGTGCACAATGAAGAAAACAAAATTAAATAATTGGTTAGGGACAGTTACATTGTTGCTTGATTTGTACGATTAAGGTATACTTTTTCTGCTTATGTGATCAGAGGTTAACTGGCAGTTTATGGTTGGTTAAGCCTGAATTTTGTTTCTCTCAATCCAGTAATTTACGCAAAAAAATGCATTTGAATTAAGAGTTTTTAAAAAGTAGGAACCCAGGAAATAGAGAAACCTCAGTTTAATTGCCTGCTACTTAGTTATTTTCACACTCCATAGGGGACGAATTTTCCCCCGCATTTTTCAGTTTGGGTCTCAAGTCTACCCCTCACCTCCCATTCCTCCAGTCTGTGACTTGTAGTAAAATACTAAATTTTCAGTTTCTTCTCACATGCTCAAATGCCAACGTCCCCTTTCTAATTCACATGATCAACTGTTTGTCTTTTATTATTATTATTGTTTTTTGTTGTTGTTGTTTTGTTTTAGAGATGGAGTTTCGCTCTTGTTACCCACGCTGGAGTGCGATGGCGGGATCTCGGCTCACCGCAACCTCCGCCTCCTGGGTCAGGCAATTCTCCTGCCTCAGCTTCCTGAGTAGCTGGGATTATAGGCACAAGCCACCATAGCCAGCTAATTTTTTGTATTTTTAATAGAGACGGGGTTTCACCATGTTGACCAGGATGGTCTCGACCCTCTTGACGTCATGGTCCACCCGCCTCGGCCTCCCAAACTGCTGGGATTTCAGGCGTGAGCCACTGCGCCCAGCTATTACTGTTTTTTGAGATGGAGTCCCACTTTGTTGCCAGGCTGGAGTGCAGTGCGGTGTTGGGATCTCAACTCATTGCAACCTCCAATTCCCAGGTACAAGCGATTCTCCTGCCTCAGCCTCCTGAGTAGCTGGGATTACAGGTGCATGCCACTGCAGCCAGCTAATTATTTTTTTTTTTTTTGGTATTTTTAGTAGACCATGTTGGTCAGGCTGCTGTCTAACTCCTGACCTCAGGTGATTCACCTGCCTCTGTCTTCCAAAGTGCTGGGATTACAGGTGTGAGCCACCGAGCCCGGCCTGAGTTGTATCTTTTACAATAAACTGGTAAACATAACTCCAGTGTTTCACTGAGTTCTGTGAGTTAGTCTATTACATTACTGAACTTGAGGAATGTTCTGGGAGTCCCCAATTATTAAACAGTGGCTCAGAAGCGTAGATCAGCCTATGAAGTTTGCGACTGGCATCTGTAGTAGAGACAGTGTTGTGGGACTGTGCTCTGAATCAGGGTCTGTGCTGACTGTGTGGTGTCAGAATTCAAATGTTGGACAGTGAGTGTTGGAGAAATGCTTGGTGTTCAGTAAATGACACATTTTGTGCCAGAAAAAAGAGATCACAGAGGCCTTCCCTGGAATGGAACTCTGCGTGCCTGGGATGGGAGGCTGTGCTCTCCTGTACACAAGCTGTCACACTGCTCATTGTCCTGTGATTTCAGGTCTCCTCTAAGAGGACAGAGATCTGATAAGAAACCCCACTTTCCCACAGCTGCCTTCACAAGATTTTCACCCACTTGCAAACATACCCACAAGACATTGACGTGCCCACAACCTTCCCAGGACTAGGCACCACCTTCAGAAAATTCACATCATTTTTGATCCCAGTGCTTCTTGCCAAAACCACAAAAAAAAAAATGGTTACAAGTCTCCTGGAACATCCCCACCAGCAGACACTGAATCTGCAGCAGTAATGTGATTTCTCCACCATCCTAGGGTTCTGGACCAACTGTTCATAATCCCATCTGCCTGCATGGACACACAAAAAAATTAGAATGCAGCCCCACCTAAGCCACTGTTTGTAGTACAAACCAGTCCTTCAGCCTATATTGCACTCTCCCCACCCATGGAGTTTTTAGTTTTAAGTTTTTTTTTTTGGTTCATGGGTACATCTGTAGGTTTGTTATATAAATAAAATTGTGTCATGGAGGTTGATGTGCAGATTTTGTCACTGAGGTACTAAGCATGGCGCCAAACCAGTATTTTTTTCTGATTCTCTTTGTCCTCCTGCCCTCACTCTCAACTAAGTCTCAGTGTTTGTTGTTCTTTTCTTTCTTTTTCTTTAGATGGGGTTTCACCATGTTGATCAGGCTGGTCTTGAACTCCTGATCTCAGGTGATCTGTCCGCCTTGGCCTCCAAAGTGCTTGGATTATAGGCGTGAGCCACCATGCCTGGCCTGTTATTCTTTTCTTTGTGTCAGTGTGTTCTTATTATTTAGCTTTTTCTTATTCTTTTCTTTTCTTTTCTTTTTTTTAAGGCAGAGTTTTGCTCTTGTTGCCCAGGCTGGAGTGCAATGGCTCAATCTCGGCTCACTGCAACTTTTGCTCCTGGGTTCAAATGATTTTCCTGTCTCAGAATTCTGAATAGCTGGGATTTCAGCATTCTGAATAGCTGGGATTACCGGTACCCACAACCATGCCTGGCTAATTTTTGTATTTTTAGTAGAGACAGCATTTTACCATGCTGGCCGGGCTGGTCTCGAACTCCTGACCTTGTGATCCACCTGCCTCGGCCTCACAAAGTGCTGGGATTACAGATGTGAGCCCTCAGCCAGCTATTTATAAATGATAACATGAATTTGGTCTTCTGTTTCTACATTAGTCTTTTAAGGATAATGGTCTCTAGCTCCATCCATTTTGCTACAAAAGAAATTATCTTGATCTCTTTTTATGGCCACACAGTATTTCGTGATATTTATTTGCCATATTATGTTTTTATTAAATTATTGTATTTTATTTTTGGAGACAGAGTTTAACTTTGTTATCCAGGCTGGAGTGCAAGTGGCATGGTCTCGGCTCACTGCAGCCTCAACCTCCCGGGCTCAAGCAATCTATTTTTTTTTCCTTTGAGATGGAGTCTTGTTCTATCACCTAGGCTGGAGTGTCCTATCTTAGCCTTCCAAGTAGCTGAGATTACAGGTACCTGCCACCAGGCTAATTTTTGCTTTTTTTTTTTTTTTTGAGATGCAGTCTTGCACTGTCACCCAGGCTGGAGCGCAATGACTCCATCTCAGCTCGCTGCAACCTCTGCCTCCTGTGTTCAAGTGATTCTCCTGGCTCCCGAGTAGCTGGGATTACAGAGGCCCACCACCACACTCGGCTAATTTTTTTTTTGTATTTTTAGTAGAGATGAAGTTTCACTATGTTGGCCAGGCTGATCTCAAATGCTTAACTGCGTGATCTGCCTGCCTCGGCCTCCAGAAGTGCTGGGATTACAGGCATGAGCCACCACACTTGGCCTAATTTTTGCATTTTTAGTAGAAGTGGGGTCTCTCCACCTTGGCCAGGTTGGTCTTGAACTCCTGACCTCAGGCTGTTTACCTTCCTCGGCCTCCTAAAGTGCAGGTGGCATACATCTGGCCAGCATCTGTTGTTTTTTTTTTACTTTGTATAATGGCCATTTTGACTGGTGTGTCGATGGTATCTCATTGTGATTTTCCTTTGCATTTCTCTAATTAGTATTGAGCATTTTTAATTTTTATTTTATTATTTATTTATTATTTATTATTTTTTTTTGAGTTGGAGTTTCACTTTTGTTACCCAGGCTGGAGTGCAATGGCGTGATCTTGGCCACTGCAACCTCCGCCTCCTGGGTTCAGGCAATTCTCCTGCCTTAGCCTCCTGAGCAGCTGGGATTATGGGCACGTGCCACCATGCCCAGCTAATTTTTTGTATTTTTAGTAGAGACGGGGTTTCACCATGTTGATCAGGATGGTCTCAAACTCCTTAACTCAGGCAATCTGCCCGCCATAGCCTATCAAAGGGCTGGGATTATAGGCGTGAGCCACCGCACCCAGCCTAGTAATGAGCATTTTTTAATATTCTTTTTAGCTACTACATGTATGTCTTTTGAAAACAGGCAAAAAATTGCTCATGTTTTTTGCCTACTTTTCTTTTTTTTCTTTTTTTGTTTTTTTGAGACAGAGTTTTGCTCTTGTTGCTCAGGCCAGAATACAATGGTGTGATCTTGCCTCTCTTCAATTCACCTCCCAGGTTCAAGCTATTCTCCTTCATCAGCCTCCCAAGTAGCTGGAATTTTAGAGGCATAAGCACTACCACGCCTGGCTAATTTTGTATTTTTAGTAGAGACAAGGTTTTACCATGGTGGCTAGGCTGGTTTCGAACTTGGGACCTCAGGTGATCCATCTGCCTGAGCATCCCAAAGTGCTGGGATTACAGGAGTGAACCACCATGCTCAGTCACCTACTTTTTAATGAGATTGTTTATTTCTTGTAAACTTACTTAAGGTCATTATGGATTCTGGTTATTAGACTTTTGTCAAAAGCATAGTTTGCAAATATATATATTTTTAAATTCTGTAGGTTTTTACTCTGTTAATAGTTTTCTTTTCTGTGAAGAAACTTTTTAGTTCAATTAGGTCCCATTTGTCAGTTAGTTGCAATAGCTTTTGGTATCGTCATTATAAAATTTGCTGGTTCCCACGTCTAGAATGATATTTCCTAGGTTATCTTCTACAGTTTTTTATAATTCTAAGTTTTACATTTAAGAATTTATTCATCAGGTTAACTTTTGTATATGTTGTAAGGAAGGACTCACTCTGTTGCCCAAGCGGGAGTGCAGTGTTGCAATCTCGGCTCACTGCAACCTCCACCTCCCGGGTTCAAGTGATTCTCCTGCCTCAGCTTCCTAAGTAGCTGGCACTACAGGCATGTACCACCATACCCGGCTAATCTCTGACTTCTTTAAGAAGTGTTTAAAAAAAAAGAAGAAGAAGAAGTCTTTTGTGGCCGGGCGCCGCGGCTCACGCCTATAATTCCAGCACATAGGGAGGCCCAGCACATAGAGAGCCTACAAAAATTAGTAGGCCTCTGTACATTAACAATATCCAAGCCAAAGGCCAAATTTAAAATACAATCCTATTTATAATTGCCACAAAAAAGAATAAAATATCTAGAAATATAGCTAAATAGGGAGATGAAAGATCTCTAGGACAAGAATTACAAAACATTTCTTTTCTTTTTTTTTTTTTTGAGACAGAGTTTCACTCTTGTTACACCCAGGCTGGAGTGCAATGGGACGATCTCGGCTTACCACAACCTCCACCTCTTGGGTTCAGGCAATTCTCCTGCCTCAGCCTCCCGAGTAGCTGGGACTACAGGTGTGCACCACCACGCCCAGCTAATTTTTGTATTTTTAGTAGAGATGTGGTTTCACCATGTTGACCAAAATGATCTCGATCTCTTGACCTTGTGATCGACCATGTTGATCAGGATGGTCTCAATCTCTTGACCGCGTGAGCCACTGTGCCCGGCCAATCTCTCTCTTCTTAAAGAATTTAGATTATATGTAGATATTTTTCTCTGCTTTTTAAATATGTGTATATCACATTAGCAGCTAAATAAACCTTTTGGCATTTTTTTGTGACTCAGGATTGCTTTTCTTTTTTTTTTTTGAGATGGAGTTTTGCTCTTGTCACCCAGCCTGGGGTGCAATGTCTCGATTTCGGCTCACTACAACCTCCGCCTCCAAGGTTCAAGCAATTCTGCCTCAGCCTTCCAAGTAGCTGGGATTACAGGTGCCCACCACCATGCCCAGCTAATTTTTACATTTTTAGTAGAGATGGAGTTTCACCACGTTGACCAGGCTGTTTCCAAACTCCTGACTTCAGGTGATACATTGTCTTAGCCTTTCAAAGTGGTGGGATTACAGGCGTGAGCCAGTGTACCTGGCCTGACTCAGGATTTTTTTGTTTTTCTTTTAACAAATCCTGCCTCAGGTTTATTTGTACAAATAGCACAGGAGGACCTTAGCCCCATGCAGATGGCAGCCCCCGGGGGTTGCACCAGTCCTGTCCTCACATTGGCAGACAGAGATATCTACTCTGAAGCCTTTGTAGGGGCCTGGGCACCTTCGAGAGCCTGAGCTGGAACTGAAGCTGGAGCTGCAGCCTGGGCCTTGGTTTGATCCTTGACCTTGGCCTTGACCTTTGGTCAGCAGAGCCTGAGCCTCTTGGCAATGCCTGCAGGAGCTCTCTTCCCAAGCTTGTGGTGGGCAATGTAGGCAAGTCGATCCAGCTTGCGGCTGACACCCTTTGGGATCTTGGGCTTTAACAAGGGCCTTGATGGCCTCGGCATGTGCACTCATGGCCTTGGCATTGTTGGCCTGCATCTTCTTTAGGCCCTTCTTGTTGTCCTTCTTGGCAAAGCATATGTTCCTCGGGAACTTGGGGTCCACTCCCTTAAGAGATTCGTATCTTTGTGATCAAGGTTTCTTGATACCATTTCTGTGCCATTTTTGGGACTGGTGGTGTGTGGTGTGGCTCTTGGACTTGGCCGTGTCTGCGCCTAGGACCGGAAGAGAAAGGAGCCGCAGAGCAGCATGGGAAATAGGGTCAACAGCACTGGAAAGTATTACTCGACTCAGGATTTTTTTTACCTAGGACCTCAGATTAATTCCTTGTTTTTATTTTGGCAAAGGTTTATATTTTTAGTATTAGTCTTTTAAAGTAGACACAGATTTGTTCAGACTAAAGCTCATTTTAAGAGTACACAGAGGTCTTAAGATGGCTGCTGGGCTGCCGCTTCCTGACAGAAGAAAAGATGTGGAGTGGGCTGCTACCTCCTGGCCTAAATGAAAGTGATGTTGAGTCAAACTCTGAAGATGAAGCTACGTTGGAGAACTCTGTACTGAACTTACAGGAAGATAAAGAGGATGGGAGCATCAGTAAAACAGAAATCACAGATTTCTCAACAGATGAACCAAAAACTGAAATGGAGTCAAATGTAAATGCCTATGAAGAGTGTCCTTCTGGAATTCCCATAGATATGTGGAATAAATTTCAAGAATTGCATAAAAAACATTCTGAACAGAAAAAAACAACCTCAAGATTCAGAGGGGAAAAAAGAAAACGCTCCAGAAAAGATAAATTGAAGAATGAGAAAAAATTTCATAGTGAAGAGTCCTCAAATGAAACCCAGTGGAAGAAGCTTACTCAGTATTCTGGAGTCAATGATAGATTTGACCCTCCTGTTAAAAGGAAAAAAGTTGAGAAGTCAGGCCTTGAAAAGAGGATAGACCAGGCTGTGGGTGAGTGGAATGTTGAGAAGGCTGAGGAACTTAGCAACCACCTAGCTACTCGAGAGCTTGGTGTCAAAATTGCCAAAGCAGTTGCCTGCCACAACTTTGTAAAATCCAAAAAGGAGGTTGAAAATTCACAGGCTGCCCAAAAAAAGAAGAAACTCGCATGGGGGTTTGAAGCAAAGAAGAGATGGGAAACCAAAAGCAACATGGGATATATGTAACTTGCCAGAGTGCTTCAAGACATTTGTACTCAAATGCTCAATTTCCTGAGAACGTTTTCCTGCCTATGTTAAATATGTCAGAAAATTTATAGAGCTAGAACACAAGCATAAAATTTGGGATTTTGATTATCAGCTCTTTTCAATCTTTCTCTAAGGACTTTGTCCTATTGCAGTGAATAAAATGAAGCATTCTGTTATTTATATAAGAAATGTAAGAAAATATATGGAAAGGAGAGGATAGGATTTTGTTTATCTATTTGTATGGACCCACAGTATAAAATCAGTTTTGCTGCTTTTGGTTTAGTATAGTCAGTGTGCTTCTTGTACTTTCTTCTTATTTTGAGACAGAGTCTCACACGCTCTGTCACCTAGGCTGGAGTGCAGTAGCATGATCTTGGCTCACTGCAACCACTGCCTCCGGGTTCAAGTGATTCTCATGCCTCAGCCTCCTGAGTAGCTGGGATTACGAGTGAACGCCACCACGCTCGACTAATTTTTTTTTGTATTTTTAGTAGAGATGGGGTTTTGCCATGTTGGTTAGGCTGGTCTTCATCTCCTGGCTGACCTCATATGATCCACCTCCCTCAGTCTCCCAAAGTGCTGGGATTATAGGCATGAGTGACCATGCCGGCCTTGTATTTTCTTATCTGTACCCAGTGTAACTATATGTTTACTGGAACTGTGTTAAGATTGACAATTGTTTATAATGGATTAGTCTAAATGCCAAAAAGTGTCAGTTGATACTATCTTTACAAATGACTTGACCTTAATGTTATAAAAGTAGTTACTGATTTTTTATTGGAGGCAGACTTGATATTTCAGAATTGTATAGTAAAAGCAATTTATTAATTTTGGTGTACTTTCAGATAAACTTGCAATAAAGAAAGGGCCAAATGTAATATTTGGAAGATGATTTAAATTCAAACAAAAGAGTACACAGAAGCTTTGCACAAAGATAGAATTCAACCTAACAATACAGAATAATATAGATTAAGAGATAAGTTTCTTTAACAGAAAACTGATAATCCAAGGTCATTATATTTATAGGCCGAAGTACTTACCACTGCAAAAGCAAATAGATACAGTTCAGTGTATAAACTCAACAGTGAAGTCTGTAGTTGTACTTTGCTTTCTATTACATCAGAATAATTAGTGTAGTATGTGCAGACAACTTGCATTTATATAAATTAAACAGTATTTTATATGATAGTATTTATACAATAGTATGGACATAAGGCCACAGTATTTCCTTCAAATAAATCCTTTAAGGTCATTTGAATATTGTTTTTCATACTTTTAAAGTATGAAGTTTTAACTGAATTATGGCTATAGACAATTTTTAAAAATCTTTCATTGTGACTAGTACATTAAAAATATTTATAATTAGATATATCTATATCCAAAGAAAATTTACTACCAAATTGTTAACAGTAGATATTATTCTGATATGCTTAATTTATCCAATATGAATAATTACAGGTAAGCATGATTTTAATGTCATTTCATCCTAAATTGGAATGCTGTTATTACAGGACAAATAAACAAGGGCACAGTGGCCACTGAAAAACCGCAATAGCTCTTGTTAGCTCTGTTGCAAGCTCAAATATATTCCACTATGTGAACAAAATCAGATTCCAATTATTCTGTGCTTATAGACATTCTCAGTTGTGTTTCAGTGTAGATCTCCAATTACAAGAATAGAAGATGAAAGCAGCAGAGATGAAAGAGAAAGCTTATTAAATTCTGCCGAGAATGTTTTCTCCTTTTATATAATGCTCACGTGTCTCATGCTGAGAGTAGCTGTGCACTTTGAGTGTAATCCTTTGAAGGGAATCTTTTCTGGCTAACTTGATCAGTCTTATATCTAATCTGAGAATTTTTTTAAAGATGCTTTTAACTTTCTTATTCTCAATATAATTTTTTTTTTTTTTTTTTTGTGACAGAGTTTCACTCTTGTTACCCAGGCTGGAGTGCAATGGTGCGATCTTGGCTCACTGCACCCTCCGCCTCCTGGGTTCAGGCAATTCTGCTGCCTCAGCCTCCTTAGTAGCTGAAATTACAGGCACGCGCCACCATGCCCAGCTAAATTTTGTATATTTAGTAGAGACGGGGTTTCACCATGTTGACTAGGATGGTCTCAACCTCTTGACCTTGTGATCCACCCACCTCGGCCTCCCAAAGTGCTGGGATTATAGGTGTGAGCAACCGCGCCCGGCCTCTCAATATAATCTTTCTCAGAACTGAGGGCTGTTTTTCTCTCCAATGCTCTGGCTGGCTGTTTCAGAGACCCTATTACTATCCTTTGGTGTCTGTGAATGAGGTGGGCTGTCACAGCAAGAACTCTTGGAGCTATCTCTATCTTGACTCATGCTGGAAATCCAGCAGTATTTTTCCATGTATGCTAATTGGCTATATTCAATAATAATTTTTAAAAACTCTTTTTTTTGCCGGGCGCAGTGGCTCAAGCCTGTAATCCCAGCACTTTGGGAGGCCGAGGCGGGTGGATCACAAGGTCAAGAGATCGAGACCATCCTGATCAACATGGTAAAACCCTGTCTCTACTAAAAATACAAAAAATTAGCTGGGCATGGTGGCACACGCCTGTAGTCCCAGCTACTCGGAAGGCTGAGGCAGGAGAATTGCCTGAACCCAGGAGGCGGAGGTTGCAGTGAGCAGAGATCATGCCATTGCACTCCGGTCTGGGTAACAAGAACGAAACTCCATCTCAAAAAAAAAACCAACTCTTTTTTTTTTTTTTAAAGAGAAACCAAGGCTGAAGCATTGCTCTCAGTTCCATTATTCTGAAAGTGAAATTTTACCCAGGAGGCCTGCAGGTTGTTTTGCTGCTGCTCAGGCTTCACTCTGACGTGGCACTGGAGTGCTGATGTGGCAATTAGTCTTCACGTAATGTCAGCTTCCAACTGTGAGCCCTGTGCTGTGCTGTGGGCTGTGTTTCAGTGGCAGATGATGGGGTCTAGAGAGGACACTAGCCATCACGAGAGGGCAAGCAGGAGTATTGGAGCCCAGTGCTCAGGAAGTAGAGAGCCATTGCTTTAAAATGTAAGTAGATGCTGGGTGCAGTGGCTCACGCCTATAATTTCAGCATTTGGGAGGCGAAGGCTGGTGGATCACCTGAGGTCAGGAGTTAGAGACCAGCCTGGCCAACATGGTGAAACCCCATTTCTACTAAAAGTACAAAAAATTAGCCAGGTGTGGTGGTGTGTACCTGTAATCCCAGCTACTTGGGAGGTTGAGGCAGGAGAACTGCTTGAACCTTGGAGGCTGAGGTCACAGTGAGCCGAGATCGCACCACTGCACTCCATCCTGGGTAGGTGACAGTGTAAGACTCTGTCTCAAAAAACAAAAGAGGCCGGGCGCGGTGGCTCACAGCTGTAATCTCAGCACTTTGGGAGGCAGATTCGGGCGGATCACAAGGTCAGGAGATCAAGACCATCCTGGCCAACATGGTGAAACCCTGTCTCTACTAGAAATACAAAAAATTTGCTGGGCATGGTGGCATATGCCTGTATCCCAGGTACTCAGGAGGCTGAGGCAGGAGAATTGCTTGAACCCAGAAGGCAGAGGTTGCAGTGAGCCGAGATTGTGCCACTGCACTCCAGCCTAGCGCCTGGCGACAAACCAAGACTCTGTCTCAAAAAAAAAAAAGAAAAGAAAAATGTTTTTATTACTGAATATAGCCAATTAGCATACATGGATGGTTTCTCCAATTACCAGGTGAATTGAAGATAAACTATGTATGATGTGGTGCTGTAAATTATTTTATGTGTAGACTATGATAACCATCTTTCTCATCTCTTAGGCAGATTGGCTGTGATGCATGGCACATTCTAAGTTATTTGTATAATAAAATAGTTTTCTTTCTGTTCTATCATTGCGGAGTTCCTCTGGCTGAAGAAAAAAAAATTTTTTTTTTTGAGACTGCGTCCCTGCTGTATTGCCCAGGCTGGAGTAGAGTAGCATGATCTTGGCTTATTGCAACCTCTACTTAAGTGATTCTCGTGCCTCAGCCTCCCAAGTAGCTGTGATTACAGATAGGCACCACCATGCCCAGCTAATTTTTGTATTTTTAGTAGAGACAGGTTTCACTGTGTTGGTCAGGCTGGTCTGGAACTCCTTGACCTCATGATCCACCCAGCTCGGCCTTCCAAAGTGCTGGGATTAAAGGCGTGAGCCACCACGCTCATCCAAAAATTTGTATTATTTTTTCTTTATTTTATTTTAAGTTCTGGGATACATGTGTAGAATGTGCAGCTTTGTGACACAGGTATACATGTGCCATAGTGGTTTGCTCCACCTGTCAACCTGTCATCTAATTTTAATCCCCACATGCATTAAATGTTTGTCCTAATGCTTTTTCTCCTGTTGCCCCTCACCCAAAAAATTTTCTTTTAATGATATTTTCCAAACATTGTCTAGAATGACCAGATATGAAATAAACATATAAGGTGCCAACCAGGATCTACTCTGGAGTGGCCTTACCCTCTCAGGCTTCCAGTCAAGTCCCAAATTCACTGCAAAGTGCTGCTCACAGGCAGAATAATATCTGCCTATTTGGTATTTGTAGTTTTCTACGGTCACTTCTAGAGGGGCTAGACCAGATTCCTACAAACTTCACAGGGCTGCAATCAACCATTTAACCTCTTTCAGTTACCTGTCTTCAGAGCTGAAACTGATTAGAGACCATGGGGCTTACAAACCCAATTAGAGTAACATGAATGCACTGAGTATTTCCAGTTCCTCCTATTGCTGAAATGTCCACAAATGTGCAGGTAACCCCTGCTGATACTCTATCCAGAATCTAAATCTGCAGCTCCAAATTCTGAATCTAGGTCTAGAGATTTAGAAAATTAAGAAAGTCAAATCTGAGAAATGCAGGTCATTTTAGTTGTTAAACTTGAAGAGACTTTAAAATGAGAGCACAATTATTCCTTCCCCTCCTTTCAACTGTGTATTCATCCCTTTTTTTTCTTTTTCTTTTCTTTTTTTTTTTAAAGATGGGGATTCACCATGATGGCCAGGCTGGTCTTGAACTCCTGACCTCAGGTTATCCACCCACCAAAGTGCTAGGATTACAGGTGTGAGTCACAGCGCCCAGCCTGTGTATTGATCTCTTGAAACTATTTGCTATTGCCACCAGTAGCTGTGAATGAAAATAATAATGACACTGGACACTCTAAACCTTAATGATGTACATCCAATGAATAATTAATGTTATTTGCGTAAAGAAGAATTTCTTTTTTTTTTTTTTTTTGAGATGGAGTTGCGGTCTTGTTACCCAGGCTGGAGTGCAATGATGCGATCTCGGCTCACCGCATCCTCCGCCTCCGCCTCCTGGGTTCCGGCAATTCTCCTGCCTCAGCCTCCTGAGTGGCTGGGATTACAGGCACGTGCCACCATGCCCAGCTAATTTTTTGTATTTTTAGTAGAGACGGGGTTTCACCATGTTGACCAGGATGGTCTCGATCTCTTGACCTCGTGATCCACCCACCTTGGCCTAAGAATTTCTGACAAACAGCTTTGTACCAGCCCAAAGAAGGGCCAGTCTCTGTCCTCTTTTTGCCTTTACAAATCTTGTAACATGTGGTAAACAAAGTATAGCTTTCAGGCAACTTGAATCTTTGCTTTCATGTTATAATCCTCAAGCTTGGTCCCCACAAAAAGCCGTCTACTTATATTTATGTTGCCTCAGCTTTTTCTTTTTTGATAGAAATATAATTCCCTTTGGCCGGGCGTGGTGGCTTACGCCTGTAATCCTAGCACTTTGGGAGGCCGAGGTGGGTGGATCACCTGAAGTCAGGAGTTCAAGACCAGCCTAGCCATTATGGTGAAACCCATCTTTAAAAAAAAAAAAAAAATCATTCCCCTTTATAGGGGAGTG